AAATTCACGTTCTGGAACAAGACTAAAGTTTACAAGTGGAAGAACAACAACAGTTCTCTGCCGGATTTTACAGCCGGTAAACGCGAAGAAGAAGAAGAAAAAGTATTAGTAGTAAGTATTAGTAGTAGCAGTAGTAGCAGCAGCAGCAGAGAAGTAATAGCAACAGCAGTACTAGTCGTAGTAGTAGCAGCCACAGCAGTAGTAGTAACAGTAGCAGCAGCTGCAACTGGAGAAAAATTAGTAGAAGTGGTGGTAGTAGTAGTAGTAGTAGTAGTAGAAGAAGAAGAAGATGAAGAAGAGAAGCAGAAGAAGAAAAAAAAAAGAAGAAGAAGAAGCGTAAGATCCTCTTTAGCAACCAGACTGCTTTTCTCTCATTTACCATCTTTTGCAGACATGTCTCCTTTGTCTCTTCCTCCGTGTACCTCAGCAAGGTATTATGGCATATGTGAGGATCTCCAGTGTGCTTTTTTTCAATTAGCTGTCTCAGCTGATCTCCATTTTTTTAGGTTCTATTTTATGCCCTCATCTTCCCCGTACTTATGGCTCTCTGTAGCAGTTGGTACCAGTCCTTTCTCGTCAGATGGTCCACTGACTGACTGACTTTCTACCCCACCAGGACATCACACAAGCGATAAACACCCGATGACACATGTCTCCTTTGCCACCAGGACATCACACAAGCGATAAACACCCGATGACACAAAGTGCTAACATGTAGATGAGGATCGCCGTGGAGAGGTCCCAGAAACCGCGTTCAGACATTTGGCCATATGTATGGCCAGCCTATATTGCGGCCCCTGGCAGAAGCCAGAGTAGGGCTTCAAATGACAAAAAATTTCGTCCTAAAAAGGATGAAATTGAGAATATAGATGGTCCACGGCCAGGTCCGATTTAAATAATCAGAGAAGGGCGGGGATGGTCAAACCACATCACGTGCTGCTCTTTAAGGAATTTTATGACTTGATTTTAGTCGCCCTATTTTTTTTTATATTTTTTTAGTTTTAATTGTACCTCTTTTGTTACTCTGGCTTATCTCCTAACACATCTATCTGCTCACAAATAAGTCCGTCATATGTCTATTAGACATAACAAGCTATTTATAGATTCCTGGTATTCCTCAGGGGAAATCCCCGAGATCCAGTCCATTATCGATAATTAAATATTGGAACGATATCGATTGCAGCTGCATGTGGGAATGTAACCTGTAACAACTGAGTTGCATTGAGATCCCCCCAGACACATAGCGAGTGCTCATACTACAAGATACACCCAACACACAAATTCGTGTCCATTGTGGTCTCAGTTCAACTGTAGTGAACATTTCAAAGTATTGGAAATGTTACACTTGAACATACACTAGTGCGCGTGTGCATACATTTGTGTGCGTGCCAGTTAGTGGGCGCACACGCACGCACTCACACAAGGAAGTAAATGTTTGAGAGCATGGTAGATATGAGTCAAGGAGGTCTGCATACTCTAGGATATCCAAATTTAACGTTCACTTAATAATAATTTTTAAAAAAAAAAACTAACCGTTCTAATATAGGACGCATTAAAATTTTATTTTTATTTTTAAACCCCACCCCGGCATTCATCAGAGGCCCTAATATAACATAATGGTTGAACGGGGTTCCTGAGACTTGTGCCCGGGCCATTCTTATCCGAATGGTGATACTTTGTATCTTTCGTGATGTAGTGTCGGTGGAAAAGGGAGGGGGATGCAGAAAAGAGACATTGTTTCTATAAATGTCTTGTGCCCTATTCAGATGTTACACAGACCAGCTCTATCTCAGGACCAACGCTATCTCAGTAACGCCATCTGTTTCACCAGTCCACTATATCGCCTTAACGCACACTATCTATTTCAGTAACGCTATCTGTTTCACCAGTCTACTATATCGCCTCAACGCACACTATTTCAGTAAAACAATTTGTTTCACCAGTCCACTATATCGCCCCAAAGCACAGTATCTGTCTCAGTAAAACAATCTGTTTCACAAATCCACTATAGCACATCAACGCACACTGTCTATCTCAGTTACGCTGTTTGTTTTACCAATCCATTATATCACATCTACGCACACTGTCTATCTCAGTAACGCTATTTGTTTTACCAATCCATTATATCGCTTCAACGCACACAATCTATCTCAGTAATACAGTCTGTTTCACCAATCCTCTATATCACCTCAACGCACACTGTCTATCTCAGTAACTCTAAATGTTTTACCAATCCATTCTATCTCTTCAACGCACACTATCTCAGTAATACAGTCTGTTTCACCAATCCACTATATCGCCCAACGCACACTATCTGAGTAACACAATGTGTTTCACTAATCCACTATATTCCCCCAACGCACACAATCTATCTCAGTAACACTATCTGTTTCACCATTCCACTATATCGCCCACCGCACACTATCTCACTAACACTATCTGTTTAACCAATCCACTATATCGCCCCAACGCACACTATCTCACTAACACTATCTGTTTAACCAATTCACTATATCGTCCCAAAGCACACTATCTCAACAAAGAGAAGAACACAGCACTGGATACTCACCCCACATGGTCACGCGTGTACTCTGTCACGTCCTTGAAGTTGTAGCCTCCAGTAAAAGGGCAGTTTGCCAAGGCCGTCCTGTAGTGTTTGACGGAAATCCAGGGAGAGTGGTCCAGTGTCATGTTCTCTAGAATTCAAAGAAAATAGTTTGAGAAAATCAAAGCAATGTTTTTCCGTTTGTAAATTTAAACAAAGAAGACACAAACAATAGAATGCAAAATTTAGTGTCTGGCATATTTCGTTCCTGAAAATCCATCAGTTACTGCAGAGGAATAAAACTCAGACCCTACAAGAGCATAATTTTGCCAATTCTTCTTTATGTATCAGAATGCCGGAGAATGACCAAAAAGGATGCACACAAGCTATCCAATTTCCACCACACATCTCTACAAAGAATTATCAAAATTTTCTGGTCAGAAACAATCTCAGACACTAAACTACTTTAAGTCACAAACCAGTAAACTCTAGACAGTATGATAACCAAGAGAAGATGGAAATGGCTTGGCCACGTTATGAGAATGAATCCTCCTATACCGGCCAAAACAGCTCTCACATGGACACCAGAGGGAAAGAGAAAAAAGGGGCGTAAAAAAACAACAACAACATAGAGACGAAGGATGGAAAGTGACCTTAGTGCGGCATCTCTGACAAGGACAACTGCACTGAAGATTGCACAGGACGGGAAAGTATGCAAGCCTCATGTGCCACTCGGCAGAAAGAAAATTAATGATTGATGATATTTCGCTGTATCTCGTCAGTTGCTTAATACAGCCGACTCGATTCGTTGGCTCCTTCCTGAATTTTGTAAACATTTAAAGACATGTTTACGATCTTGCGGTTACCCGGGTAAAACAGGCATTTGCTTCAGAGAATAGTTAAATTTGTATCTCAGTTATAAAAGACATTCAGGTCTTCAGACGACCAGGTACTCATAGCAAAAAGTACGGAATGCCTACAGAACCACCTAAATAAAATTAGTAACAAAGGGGAGAGAATATAATATGAAAATTAACACTACGAAGACAGAGACAATGGTGATAGGAAGACAGAAAGACAATTTAGAAATAAAATTGAAAAACAGCACCTTAAGGCAGACAGTGGAATTAAAGTATCTGGGAGAAATTTTCATATCCGACGGGAAAATGGGCAGCGAAATAAGCCCGAGATGTGCCAAAGCTAATCAAGTAATGTGGCAACTATCTCGCCTGTTGGGGGGCCTCAAATAGCCAAGGGCCCCAAGTTTCATCGCCCCTGCTCACAAACATCGTAGAAGGGATACAACAGATGAACTCACGGCTGCAAATGCCTTCCGGGTTGACCTGTCTGTCGGACACCGCCAGCTGTATCACGGCCGGACTTCTCTGTATAAACTTGATGCATTGGTATGTTGGCCTGGGCTCTTCGTGTTTCACAGCAAACAGATCAGGTCTGTATTGGGTTCACCGAGAAAATATAGACTATTATAATATGATAAATAGTTTAAATATGAGGATATGAATAATGTGAACACAATAAATAGCTTACAAAATAGTTTTATTATATGAAGATAACATAATAATAAGTAAAGATCCCTTTTCACGCATTCAGGCGCATCGGGCATATGGGAAGAGCACACATATTTTGTAAGATTAATCGGCACTAGATGGGTAAAAATTCTCTACGTCATATGACTATCAGGTAAAACACACAATAACAGGTACGGAAAATGCACATATTCGAATATTCATACTATAAACGCAAACATACATACATAATACAAACACATAATACAAACTCGTACTCATAAATGAGAAGTATAAAGCTGAAGGAGAATGAGAAGGAGACGAAAGAAAAGGGTATATGAGAAAGGAGGATGAAAAGGAGATGAAATAAGAAGGTATATAAGGAAGGAGGATGAGAAGGAGATCAAAGAATAGGGTATATGAGGATGAAGGATGAGAAGAAGATGAAAGAAGAAGGTATATGAGGAAGGATGACGAGAATGAGATGAAAGAAGAAGGTATATGAGGAAGGATGACGAGAATGAGATGAAAGAAGAAGGTGTTTGAGGAAGGTGTATGAGGAAGGAGTATGCAGAGTATAAAGGAGGAAGAAGATAGAGAAAGGAGAATGATGAAGTTTGAGAAGCAAGATGAATGAATCTGAAAAAGGAAGATGTGTAAGGATGAAAAGGATGCATAAGAAGGAGGAGGAAGAAGAAGTGCGAAGACGAGGTAGGATAAGGAAACAGTAGGAGAAGAAATAAAAAAAGTTAATAAAGGGTGGGAGCCAGAGGAGTTAGGAGGAGAAGGAAGGAGTGAAGCTTAGGAGGATTAAGGGAAAAAAGAAGCGAACGAAGAAATTGAGAGAAACACTGCAGAAGAATTTAGCTTCTGTTTTCTGACTTCTTCACATGACACAACAATAGTCAAACAGTAATAAAACTACTTTTACCTACACACACACACACACAAAATCAAAAAGTGTCCCTATGTAGACAACCTCGTCTTATAAATATTCAATTCATTTCCTGAGAGGATGCAAGGTCGTTATGACACAAATAATATTGTATACGTTTTTCATGAAAAACTCACATCTTTTTTCTTTCAAAAAAATTGTTTTCAGATGTAGTGGATTTTTTTAAAAACTTCTTTTTATATACCACAACAATCGTAAAGTTAGGGTGAAAAAAGGGAAAGTAAAGGTGCATTTGAACATAACAAAATGCATATGAGGCCAGACTTCTATGTTTATAGACCAGTCTGCACATGATAGGTGATATGGTAAACATCACGTCGGCCGCCTTTACTTTCTAAGATTTCCCATTTAAGGATGGGTCGACCTTGGAGCCAAGAAGATAATAGAAAAAGAGATCTGGCTCCCTGCTAATTTGAACCCACGACATTTGGATCCGCATGCGAGCGAGAAAATAGTTTATTCGTTCGTTCATTGTTTCCTTCTCTTTTCCTTCATTTCGCTTCCCCAACTCCCTTTTTCCCTGTATTTCACATCTTTCTCACGCCCTCTTTTTGCCCCTCTTTCTTTCTTATCATTCTTTTTCCGTGCGCTGTCTTTTTCAGTCCATTCAATGTGGGTCTGATAATCACAAAGTTAAAGTTAAATTCGAGAGGATCGACTCCATTGTACTGTGTTTTATTTTATATGTCTCGGCCTCTTTCCGCAGAATGGCTAGCTGTCTGCCGAAAACCACACACAGAGCACGAACTCCGTAGCTCCGGCGACGATTCACATGGATCTCCGTAAAAATTGCACTCGTGAACTGAAGAACGCAGTTGTGAAATAAACCCACGACCTTCAGGGCGCAAGGAAAACGGCTTGGCCACCTCGCCATGGAGACGCCTATCTGATAATCATGTCTGTATATAACCTTCTATGCCATAGAACATTAGAATACGGTAGACCAGTGACTCTCAGTATTCCTAATGCCGCGACCCTTTAATACAGTTCCCTCATGTTGTGGCGACCCTTTAATACAGTTCCCTCATGGTGTGGCTACCCTTTAATACAGTTCCCTCATGTTGTGACGACCCTTTAATACAGTTCCCTCATGTTGTGGCGACCATTTAATACAGTTCCCTCATGTTGTGGCGACCTTTTAATACAGTTCCCTAATGTTGTGGTGACCCTTTAATACAGTTCCCTCATGTTGTGGCGACCCTTTAATACAGTTCCCTCGTGTTGTGGCGACCCTTTAATACAGTTCCATCATGTTGTGGCGACCCTTTAACACAGTTCCCTCATGTTGTGGCGACCTCCAAACTTTCCTTTATAACTTCTATGAATATGTGTTTTTCAATGGTCATAGGCAACCACTGTGAAAGGGTCGTTCAAGTGAGAAAAAGTTGTCTCGACCGGCAGGTTAAGAACCGCTCCAGTAGACTAAGAAGAAGGAAAAAACCGACATCCTACATTCTTTTAAACTCGAGGAGAACTGGCTCATGAACAGCATCCCGTCTTCAAAGATGAGGTATTTTGGCCACGTTAAACGGAGTAGTGACCTGCAGAGAGCGCTGATGGATGGTACAGTTCCCGAAACACGAGGCATTGGTAGAGTTTCGCGAGGGTGGATACAAGACATTGAAGCTGCATTGGCTGTGGAGGCACATAGGGCTGGAGAACTGACTAGAGAAAGAGAGACTTTCATGCGTGCCGTGAAGAGAGCGACGTTCTGTAAAGGACATGCCGACTGATGATGATGATGATTCAGGTGAGGGTCCTTTGTTTTCACCTATAAGACCTATATTTTATAGACACATCAGGACTCGGTGGATGATGTGCTTTTAACACCACCGACAGCCTTTCCTTCCCAGCACTTTACCTGTCACCCGTTTTTGGCCTGGGTCGACCTAGAAAAAAAAATTATCGGCTTTTTTGGACCTGAACCCAAGACTTTGGGATCCGCAGACGAGTATCTAACCTCTACACCACGACGACTATCTTGTGACAATGATGATGACGTACAACAGAAACATTCCCACCCGTATTGACGTACAACAGAAACATACCCACCAGTATTGACGCACAACAGAAACATACCCACCCGTATTGACAGACAACAGAAACATACCCACCCGTATTGACGTACAACAGAAACATACCCACCCGTATTGACGTATAACAGAAACATACCCACCAGTATTGACGCACAACAGAAACACCCACCCGTATTGACAGACAACAGAAACATACCCACCCGTACTGACGGACAACAGAAACATTCCCACCCGTACTGACGGACAACAGAAACATACCCACCCGTACTGACGGACACACTTGCGACGCATCTGACTCTCCTGGTACGACTCGGCCTTGTCCCCGGTGTATCGGGAATACTGGTTGGAGCAGATGGTGTAAACTCCACCGGTTACTTTGCCCAGATGAACGTCTCCGTCGTACTTCCAAGTCCAGTCTCCCATACCTCGGCCTGACGACTGGGGAATAGTGAATTATTTTGTTTTTCTTGTTGTACCCCAGTGTTCATAAATTAGATGTGGTCCTTCAGCTCCTCGGGTAACGTACCACCAAAGCGTGAACTCTTCGCTGGCTGCTGAAGATAGGGACGGAGCACTTATTGGAATGTCCCGAGTGCTGTGATTTCGTTTCCCTAAAACTAAACTAAACACCATACCTCGTTCTGACGATTGGTGAATAGTTATTTTTTTTTTCTTGTTCATATATTATATGTGGTCGGTCATGTGGCACGCATGCCAGATCACAGGCTCCCCCACCCCCTCTCCCCCCCCCCCAAAAAAAAAAACTCTTCTATGGTGAGCTGCAAAATGGGAAACGTTCCCAAGGAGGGCAAAAGAAACGCTTTAAGGACACCTTGAAGTCTTCACTCAAAGCATTTGGGATGAATGACACCAATTGGGAGGCTGCCTCTTAAGACCGAAATCCACGGCGTACAGCTCTACACAAGGGCGCGGCTACATGTGAAACAAACAGAAAAGCAAGACTTAAGAAAAGGATGTACAGAAAGGCGACTGCAGCAGATCCCCTACTTGGCACAACACTCATTCCCTGACCTCACTGTCCAAGAACTTTTCGGGGCCGCATCGGCCTCATCAGTCATCTTCGCACTCATACTTGATGAAAAATAGTGGTCATCATCATCTTGGTGGACAACACAACATTATACTTGGTGCTTCAACACTTTGGTTAACTTGTACCATCGGAGTTGGAACATTTCACTGGCTGCAGTCCAGTCCAGCAGCTTTGGTCTCTCTCTCATCGTGTTTTTTTTTTTTTTTTTTTAAGGGTTTCTTCTAGGCGTTTTCTTTTCCTTAGATCCTTTATTAACTATGTTCGCGCCTGTTTTGTGATTCACAACTTAGTTGTCGAAATGAGAACTGCGAAATGTGCTCCTTCCAAGTAAACTCCCCTACTGCTGTTGTGTTTCATGTGTAATTGTTTGTACATCGTGTGTGTGTATATATGCGAGTCAGTGTTAGGAAAGCGGCGTCCGTGGGTAGGAGCGCTGCGAGTCTGACTAGTAATTCCAATGTACCGCGATCGAAACCCACTGCTGGCTGCATGGATTTGTATCATGGTACGGGGCGTCGCAGGTCGACCCAGCCTAAAATGGGTACCAGGATGACTGCCCTGGGGAAGCAGAGATGGCCGGCGTAATGCTAACCACACTACCCACTAAGTGCTGATTGGTCTGTAAAAATATGGGATGCTCTTCTGATATGCCTGATGCGCCTAAGGCGAAAAATTTTTCTTTACTTTTTTTTTAAACTTTACTTACGTCTAGGATACATATATACTTGTCTGTCTGTCTGTCTATCTGTCTGTCTGTCTGTCTGTCTGTCTGTCTGTCTGTCTGTCTGTCTGTCTGTCTGTCTGTCTGTCTGTCTGTCTGTCTGTCTGTCTGTCTGTCTGTCTGTCTGTCTGTCTGTCTGTCTGTCTGTCTGTCTGTCTGTCTGTCTGTCTGTCTGTCTGTCTGTCTTTATATTCATTTGCCTATTTGTTTGCCAATCTATCTCTTTTTTTTCTGTCTTTTTGTCTGTCTGTGTCTCCCTGTATATGCATGTCTTCCTGTATATGTATATCGCCCTGTATGTGTATGTCTGCCTGTATATGTATGTCTCCCTGTATATGTATGTCTCCCTGTATATGTATGTCTCCCTGTATATGTATGTCTCCCTGTATATGTATGTCTCCCTGTATATGTATGTCTCCCTGTATATGTATGTCTCCCTGTATATGTATGTCTCCCTGTATATGTATGTCTCCCTGTATATGCATGTCTTCCTGTATATGTATATCGCCCTGTATATATATATGTCTCCCTATATATGTATGTCTCGCTGTATATATATATATATATATATATATATATATATATATATATATATATATATATATATATATATATATATATATATATATATATATATATATATGTGTCTCCCTGTATATGTATGTCTCCCTGTATATATATGTCTCCCTGTGTATGTATGTCTCCCTGTGTGTATATATATATATATATATATATATATATATATGTCTCCCTGTATATATATATATATATATATATATATATATATATATATATATATATATATATATATATATATATATATATATATATATAAAGGGGCTGCTCTTGGATGGCAAAGGCTGAGGACTTAATCCAGCAGGTATGTGACCTAGATGTGATCAGCCACGGAAAAAAGAATGGACGAATACACCAGTAGACATGCATGGCATCTCTAAGGTGGTCATCACACTCGGAAGGTACTGCAGGGATCAAATTCCTGCGGCGGTAGACACAGAAGTAAGGGAACTGATAGATCAGCATTCAGACCCAGAAGATACCATCATCTACACAGATGGATCCGTGAAGCGCGGATCAAGGTCAGCATGGGCGTACACAGCGCAAAGAAAGGGGAAAACAATACATGAGGACAGCGGCGCTTACCAGACAACCACGTCAAGCATGACAATGGAAACAGCCGCTGCTTCTAGAGCTTTAGCATGGGTATCCGAGCAAACCGCCACACAGGTAGTAATTGTCTCAGACTCAATGAATATGCTTCAGAAGATAGCAACAGGCAGTATGCGCTCTGAATGGATAGAAAGCATCAGGAAATCGCACTTAACCTCCGTAACCTGGATCTACACACCAGGTCATGCGGGCGTGAAGGGAAATGAGCGAACAGACCAACTGGCAAGCACTGCACTAATGATTGCAGGAAAAAGTATGGACAGAGCAGACATAGTCAAAGCTGTACGAACCGGGCTAGTGGAGAATGAGGAATCCCTGACACTAACACGATTGCGTGACATGGGAGTTAAGCATGGTGATGCACGTCTTTGCCGTCTTCGAGGCCGAGAAAGGAGACAATATAACCAGCTTCTCATGGGGACAATTAGTAGAAGTACTTTAGAGTGGCTGCTGCTTCGGAGAACTGAGCACGCATGGGTATGCCCAATGTGCAGCGACATTAATTGTGATAACAGAACATAAAATAACATCTTAGTAGGGAGTCGGCAGTACGAAACCCAAGTTCAAGGTGTCTCCTTCGTGCCAAAGAACTGCATGGCTGTTAGGTGAACAGTCGTTAACGATGGCAGGCAGGTCGTTGTAGGGGCGACGCCTGCTGGTGGATGTAATGTCCTAAGTCCCTTCCCCAGCTAATAATGAGGGTACTGCTGGGGTGACCGTTTATTAACCCTCATATAATTCTTCCGGTCAAAATGGACGCTAGGTACGGCCACCTTTTTTTTTTAAGCCGTGGCAAATATTTTTCCAGACGGTGGCCGTTGCATTTNATTTGGATGTCTCCCTGTATATATATATATATATATATATATATATATATATATATATATATATATATATATATATATATATATATATATATATAATACATATATATATGTGTCTCCCTGCATATATGTCTCCCTGTATATGTATGTCTCCCTGTATATGTATATCTCCCTGTATATGTATGTCTCCCTGTACATATATGTCTCCCTGTATATATATATATATATATATATATATATATATATATATATATATATATATATATATATATATATATATGTCTCCCTGTATAATTATGTCTCCCTGGTCTCCCTCTATATGTATGTCTCCCTGTATATATATGTCTCCCTGTATATGTATGTCTCCCTGTATATGTATGTCTCCCTGTACATTTATGTCTCCCTGTACATATATGTCTCCCTGTATATATATGTCTTCCTGTATATGTATGTCTCCCTCTATATGTATGTCTCCCTGCATATATATATATATATATATATATATATATATATATATATATATATATATATATATATATATATATATATATGTCTCCTTGTGTATATTTTTGTCTCCCTGTATATGTATGTCTCCCTGTGTCTGCATCTGTCGGTGACGGAATTCCCGTATGTCCCCATATTACTCTCCCTATATCTGCTATCTATACGCGTCGGTGGTTCTTTTCGAAAGCTCTGCTGCCAGCTCGCCTACTTTACTTACACAGGCTTCACCTGTCTGTCCGTCTGCCACTCTGTCTATCAATCTGCTAAAACATAGAACGATAATAACCGACACGAATTATTATTAGCCACAACAATTAATCACTTGTGTCTGTCTACATTAGTAGTTTTCCCCTTTTTCTTATTCGGGTGGCACCCCTTGAATATGTGACAAGACCCCACACCCCTTCCGCCAACACCAATTTAAAAAAGAAAATAATAATAATTAACAAGAAGAAAAGGGGGGGGGGGGGGGGATGCCACGCACTTCTAACAAGAACTTGCAGAAAACATCCGCATAAATTCAAATGTCAAATATTATAAAGTAGCAGTCATCAAGAACAGATAATATTGTGTCCAGGTATCAATGTTACGGTTGAGACAGACTGATTTGTCTTCTTGGTGATTTCTGTTATCGTTTCATCCAGTCATCTCCTTGTTGGATGCAATTTTTCTTTATTTTGAAGCCCCACCCTGGCTCTTGCCAGGGGCCGCAATATAGCCCGGCCATAAATATGGTCTAATGGCTGAACTCGGTATCCGGGACCTCTTCACGGGTGATCCTCATCTGCTTTGTGGCACTTTGTGTCATCGGATGTTTATAGCTTGTGTGATGTCCTAGTGGGGTAAAATCTTCTACTACTACAATATATGTTATCTTTGGTCCAAATTGCAAAAAGCCCTTAGCAATACAGAGTGTGTGGAAGAAAGAGAGGATGGGGAAGGGGTATTCGTATAATAGATTACTACAAGTTCAAATGCACATAATTTTATAATTGCTTGACGCTACCCACCCCACAAGTTTTTTTAAAATTTCCTTGAAAATTCTAGCTAAACCAGAAACTTTCTTGCGAGTTCTAGATAAACGAGAGACTTCCTTGTGAGTTCTAGATAAATGTGAAACTTCCTTGCGAATTCTAGCTAAACCGGAACT